TAAAGCTTGAAGTAATTGCACAATATAACAGGTGTGTACAAATCCGCATCTCATTTTTGATTTATATCCAATTTGGGTAATAAGAAAGCTATTTTTACAGATATGAGTTACAATCGTGACGTTGTATTACAAATTGATACTTTTCCATTGGTATAAGAGTATATTCCACAAATGTAATCCAGGTTGCGTCGTGGAGAAAGTTAATTCGTTATTAACCAGGCAAAGTTTGGTTGTTCTTTCTGACATTAGAGTCAGTCGGAACAGTCTCCTATAAAGTCTGTTTGTGTAGCACATAAAGAGATATTGAAATATTGTCTTCGCATTAACAAAAAACCCAGACATCACATGAATGTAATACAGATATCTGGGAAAAATAAAGCTTGAAGTCAATTCTGTTATATAACTTTGTTGTGAACAGCACCCTCGGCTTAAAGATTATTGATGTATTATGTTGAGATCAGTGATATATTTATTCCATTTTTCAGCAGTCTTATCGTAGTTTCATAACAGGAAAGAAATTTGATCGTGGAGGCGAAAATTAGATAAGGTCATGTCGGGTTGTTTTACTGCATCAAATGGTGCCGAGGTCGATTCCAGAATTCCCCATTTGCGCCATTTGTGTCTGCATGGCGGACTGTACTCGTAAGTTGGGTAAAATGTTGAAAACCAGTTGCATCTTTATTTCAGATCATGAATACTCATTTACATCGTGTCCGCCAGCTTCTTTAAATGGTAGAATTGGATCGTTCCTGGAATTTGAGTGATTATGGGATAAATGGTTTGGAATTAATCTTAGCAGTTAGAATACAGTTAAACATGCAGAGAAGTACTTTTGATTCAGCAACCGGTGAATTTTTTATTCTTTTCGATCTAGTACCAGAATAACTGCGAACCATTCCATTCAATATGTCGAATAAGGCACGCAGGAGGAGATCATTACCATGGAATGAGTCAACTTGATCTGAGATGCAGCTTTCAGCATGTTTTCTTTAAATCATAGATATCCAGGTTTATTGGCGCTGTAGAGGCAGTGATTTGGATTATGACGTATTCTACAAAGTCTCCGTGCCCATTTGAAGTATACATGTGCTTTGAAAGGATTACGTTGTTGGCTCCTACCCCCACTGAGTGTTAACAACAGCTGCTGTGGGTTTATTCTCTCTTCTGATTTCTCCTGGTCTTCCCACGTCATAGCAACCTCCAGTAAAATATTCGGCCTGACATTTTATGTTAAGAAGTTAAGACACTCGGGTATAACTCAATCCCTCCTCTTACAGTTCATAAACTCTTGCATCCTAATTATTCTTCTTTATTGTTCACTCATATTCTTTCCTGGTTTGCTTAAAAAAGACCGTCACAATTTGTAGAATGCTGAAGACTGTCATTAGAGTGAGTGGTGTCCCAGTGGACCACATAGTTATCGTCGTTGTCGATAGGCACTTGACTTCGTGCAATAAATTTGCTGAAGGAATTTTGTCTGACTTGGAGCATCCGCTTTACCCTCAGCCTTCACCTTGCATCTCCTCAGGTAGAACAAGGAGTAACTTCAGAAAACTGTATGCCCGCACGTCTAAGCATAAAAATTCTATGGTACCATACTTGTCACTTATTTTTATGTGATGAAAATAGCGTCAGGCAGGAACTAACTAACCTTTTTTCATCTAGTAAAAAAACAGTATCCTCTATCCATCCTTATATACCTTCAAGTTTTACTTTTATTATTTCTATTAAATTTATGGTCCTGTTGCTTCTTTGTTTTACTCTCATAATTGCTAACACCAACTTATCTCCATGGCTGCTGTGATCTTTCTTTTTCCCCTCACCATATCATGTAAAGAGAACATTATATTCAATATTTATAAACATGCTAGGATTTCTAAACCGCATTGACAATACTGTGTGAAACAAGCCCACGGCAATTTTCACTTTTATTATCATTACCCTAGCTGTTATCATTATTAGTATTTCCATTTTATATGCTGCATGTTTTTGACACCACCTTTGTTGTAAATGTGCAAAATTTTCTGTGATTAATTTTATTTATAATTTGAGGAAATTAGATGCAATATTGTGATTAATGCTGAAAATTCTATCCTGTATCGCAAGTACTGTTTTTGGGACAAAGTAAGTCATTATTATTATTAAACTGAAATATTCACATAATCTATCGTTTTCTGAGCATTTGTCAAAACAGCAGCCTTAGAACAATGTAAAACAGCCACAGGAAAAGTTTTCGTTGATTGGGTATGCCCAAATATGGAACAAATAACCTAAGGTAATGCGAATAGCATGCACATTGGCCCTCTTTGAAAAGGCACCTAACGACACACTAAGTGAGTTTGCAAGTGATACCAGTGCTAATTCCTATGTAAGAGCTTCTGAAATCGTAGGATCATTTAATGTATAGATGTAGAGACTTCACCTATTGTTTGTTTTGCCTCTATTAATAATAATAATAATGTATATTTTCATATAAACATATAAATTTACATGACAAAAAACAGCAGTCGTGACAATAACAGCCATACAAATAAGAGTAGATTGAATTATGTCTGCCTGATACAAAGGGTGAACCATAACCGACATACGAATGAAATATGAGAAAACAAGGTCGAAGCTTACCACAACATCACATGGAAGGATATGTTTCTTATGCATTATATATGATCCACCAAACTGGTCTCCTTTTCAAGAAGAACGCGGCAATGTTTTTTCCACAGTGGCGAGGAAATACACAAATCCATAGTTCCCATTGCATACACTCAGTGGAGGTAGGAGACAACAGAGTAATGCGTTTCGAGCAAATTTATACTGCCCGTGATCACGGCGACACTTTGCAGAATATGTCAAAATCGTAGAATAATCAAACAAGTTGTAGTACATATCTGAATATTCATCCATCTGTCGACCATAATGACGAATCCAAATCACTACCTATACAGCTCCAATAAACCTGGATATCCATGAAATAACGAAAATATGCTCAAAGCTGCACTTCAGATCCCAATGACTCATTCGATGGTAATATTCGCCTCCTGCATGCTTCATTCTACATTTCGTATGGATCGGTTCGCAGTCATTCTGGTTCCAGACAGAAAGGGATCAAAATCCACCGGTTGCTGAATCATTAATACTTCTCCCCATGTTTAACTGGATACTAACCGCTGTGGTGAGCCTCTTGCAGATTATATTGCTAAAAACATCGTTTATGTGAAAACTTTTAAACAAGCCTTATGTGTACATTATGATCATATTGATGATGCCTGTCAACTGGAGTCCCTCATGTGCATAAAGTGAGAATTTACTGTTATAAGATGTACTCTATTGTTATATGAGGGAACTGACTTCAAGCTCTATTTATTTTCCCAAGTATATGTAATCCATCCAACGCATACTTGGCTTTTTTGTTAATGCAACGTCAATATCTCTATATTTCTTGATGTGGTCCATTGAATCACTAGTTATCAGATTTTTCCCACAAACTAAGGACAAAATGACAGCAACCATGTAATTTAACCGTATATCATGTAATTTGAATATGCAATTTAAGTAATACTTATCCATGCCTATACAGTTGGTGTGTCCTAGGTAGGTAGGAATAAATATGTATCTCATTATGTTTTCATTAATAACTACGCTTACTAATCGCATGAGTAATTTGTCAAATTGATAATGTCTGAAAACTGGCGACCCTCATGTACAAAAGTGGGAATGCATTATTATTATTGTTACCGCTACAAAATTATCAAAACAATTAACTAGCATATGTTAGCAGCTCGAAATCTAATGTTTGGAATAGGGAGGGTGAAGATAGCTGGGGGATTCAAAATCAGTTTTTATTAATCTCTAACCAGTAGGTTTTTGGATTGTGAAATGAATTGTTGCTTACTTCTACGAATTAACTGATTATGAATTCCGTACCCTACAGAGAATAGGAATAGAATAAGTCGAATCAATGTCACAATGTCTTATCTCATTCATTTTCTAATAACGTCTTTACTTGATCCTCATTATATTCCATTAAACCTAACATTTTATAGCTCTATATGAATTTGATTCGACTTATTCTATTCCTATTCTCTGTAGGGTACGGCTGTGCACCAAGTAGACAAAAAGGTATGAAATAAAAACAACTGGCTTGAAAATAATTTTATTGAAGCCAAAAGTGGACATCATGATAGTACGAACTATATAGGTAGCACTATACATTGCAAATGAACGTTGTCAGCCTAGGGATTAATTACTTCCCCATTCTGTTTCCTATATAAATGTATTTATTAATGATACATTGCACTTACTTATTTATTACACTTTAATGATTCACATTAGCACTTTAACTTTTCTAAAACAGCTTGCAGTCCCTTGTAAACGTTGTACTTACCTCAATATTGGTTGGCTATCGTATGCCTACAGCCACGGGATGAAAACGAAACGAAGTCGATTTTCCCGCTCAACCTGGAGGACAACTGTACAATTCAATAATTATACGGCCTGGTTCAGACAATGAGTGTAATTATATATATATCAAATGTTTGACTGTTGAAACATTATTAACTTGTAGACAATCTAAGATTAGACATTATAACATACTTGATCGTGCCTGTAAAACTGGCATGCATTTCATGTAAATTTATGTTTATATGAAAATATAAATTATTATTATTATTATCCATCTTTCCTCCTGAACTTGGATATCTTGTTTCTAGTCTTTTTTCCCTTCTCCCCCCAATACCACAAAATTATAATTCTAAAATAGCCACACAGTTTCTACGATTTTGACACAAAAACATAAATTAGTCTAAAGCTCATGATGCGAAACTGATTGAAAAGGAATGTATACTTCTTCTCTGAATTAGTCAAGTTAGTCGTTCATCCCAAAGTCTTGGGACACCAATCCATGTTTTTCATGTGGCTGAACTGAAACTCCACTGGCATAGAGTTAAACACACATGTTTTTCGCCTAAAATTACCATAAGCCACTTAATCTCCGACTTGTGAAAGGTAGTTCGTGGTGGGTATTTTGAAGGCTGCGGTACGTTGCATTTCTGTTACCTTATAATCTGTAAGTCGTAAGTCATTGCAATTATTAGATCATGTTAACAATTGTTTATCATTAAGATATAAATGCTAGATAAATTATTTATTTATCAAGCAAGAATTGTTGGTTTTATTCAGTTATTCCTCTACAAATGGTAAATTAATGTTCGCAGATCGTATTACGATGAGTCATCTTGTGATGATTAGAAATATAAAGTTTGAAAATATTGAAAGGCATGCGACTTGATCGTGCTTTCACTGGCAATAATTCTGAAACTCATGTTAACTTATTCACATAAGTTTTAGAGTCGGAGTCAGCGTATAGCCCAAATAAACCAAATAAAGTCAATTCCATATCAGTACTGTACTACATAGACGGAAAGAAAGAAAACTATTTATTGGATCGTATTACGAATATGATTTACTGTCGGTAATTATACCCAAATAAAAACAATCTGGGGCGATTTCGGAGTATTTTGGTTCATTGCTAGGGTTTGGGAAAGGGTTGCATATCCCCAGAATTTCGCACTGAGTTGACAGAAATTTTTTTACTTGGGTATATAGTCTAGTGGTTCTCTCATGTAATAAAATAGTGTGAAGTTACAGCTTCCACGTAGTACAATATAATTTTATATATATGCATAAAATTAGAGCGGACAGTTTTTTGAATAAATTCTTGATGTGACAGAAAGAATAAGCAACAAGAAACTATGGAAAGAAAACCCAGCCAATAGCTGGTTGCTCAACAAATATGTAGGAGAAAATGTAGGTGGATTGACATACACTGAGGAGACCGTCGAATGACATCGCACGCCAGGCCGCCGCTCGAGTGAAATCCAAATGGGAAGCGACGGCAAAAATAGATCACGGTGGAGATGTGTTTTTTGCAAGCCTTATGTTCCACTCGGAACGCAAGGAAAAAATAATAAACTCCAGACTCTATAATTATAAATTTATCAATTTAAGCATACAATAGCCAGTACTGGCAATTTAGAATCATATCAGAAATGTACTGTGGAACTAGTATAAGATGGGGTGGAACAATAGTCCATTTTTGAATATGCATGTTCAATGAGAACATGAGATAAGATAACAATATATATATATATATATATATATATATATATATATATGTATAGTCAACAAAATTACAGGTTTTAAGGGTGAGTGTAATCAGTGGTGTATGAGACAATATGAATACTACAGAAAATAAACCAACAAATGGGACGGAGTACATGTAAGTTCAAGGGTGACAAATAACAACAACAATAATAATAATGAAGTAATAATGATGATGTGGCGTAAACACAAAAGTATTATTTAATGAAGTGAATTCAACAAAATTGTGTAAACACAATAACAAGTTTAAAAAGCTTTCCATAAGCCTTAGGTAACAGACATAATCAGAAGCCTCATAAAGTTTTTGTCGATGAAACAAAGGAAAAGAGTAGGGAAAAGAAAAATAAATGGGATGGAAATTTAACGTGCGAACGTTTATGGAGGATTTGCTGACCTTATTGTAGGCCAAAGTAAACAAGGCGGTTGGACATACCTCTGTATTCAGAGACCAGGTGTTGTGGCATTGATTACTACCGCTCTAGCTAATGATAGAAGACGTAGTCGAGCAACTCCAAGTATATTATCAGGAACACTTTAGATAACTGAGAGCCCCTGCTCAGGTTTTACGCTTGTTCCACAACACATTTCTGATATCATTCAAATTTGCCTTTACTGGTGGTTGTGTGCTTAAATTAATGAATTTATAATTGTAGAACCTGAAGCAGAATTTGTTGAAAACTATTGTTCGCTCTAACTATTTTTGTTCATATATATATATAAGCTTATCTGTTGTGATGCGTTTTAGAAGTTGAAAGCCCTAATTTTTCAGCATCGGGGCTACAGCAGTTAGGACTCTCGCCGACCATGCAAATGGTTCGGGATTCGAAGCCCCTACCGACGCACAGCCGATATCAATTGGTCGGTCTGTAAAATTTGGGCTACCGATATCACATGCTGAAAATCCCATACTTCTGACAAATATACTGTACGGAACCAAGCTATAATAAAAAAGGTATTAAAGGTCGTATGCTCTTCAGTATAAATGGATTTTGAAGGCTTCCATAATTCAACAACAGAAAGTTCAGAGTATAAAATACCACATTTCACTTGTTAGTCGATTGTGTTTCCTAATTCATTAGCGTTGGTAATGTCTCTGTTATTCTTCTAATAGTCCTGGATACGGGTAATGACTGTGTAGGTCAATAAAATCATATGATACGGCTTCCACGATTCGAGCACATTCAGGGACTGTATCTCAGTGATGACTTTAAGAGATAGTGAATACACCGGTATAGCTACATTCGACCTAGAAAATACAGTGGTTTTATTATACATGTTTTGTGTTTCCCAATTAAGGTAAAGTGAAATAATACAAGCTTCGATTTCAAACACTGGTTCGAAAGTTAACCCTCTACATCAATGAATCCCCTTGTAAATATACAAATGGAGGAGTATCTTTTAAACCGAGTATTTTGTATAAGTAAAATCTTTGAGTAGTTGATGGTGAACTGCTAGTACTAGTACCACACTTCTTGCAGCCAGTGATAGGTAAATGACATTGGATTTCCCTTAGCTTTATCCACACTGGTTACTACGTGGAAAGTAATCCCACGAGCCTCTGAATTAGTAAAAAGCGAGAGACGTACGTATGTGCGCTTTGGTAGCAAGTGTGAACGGACAGATGACAAAAGTTCAGTAGGCATCAGCAATATGTAATACCTTTCAACTTGTTAGGCCTATGTAGTAAGCAGTCCCTAAAAATTTATGGTAAGTGGAATGATCCCCCCCAAAAATAGGACTTCAATATTTTCTGAGGCGATAAAAAGCTGAGACGCTAAGGATGAAACTTTCAAAAGTGGTTGAGTCGGCCTACGTTTGCTTGTGAAACCCCAGTTCTAAATGAATGTAGACACTCATTCTTCCGACGTAGCCGATCTCTTAGATGTATCACACAGTGAAATAGTATTATTTACTGGATGACGTTTCGAACACAATTTATTGTTCATAATCATATCAATTTTGAAATTGATAATATTTCATAAAACAATTCCAACAGTGGTGTGAACACGGGCAGTAATTTTGCTCGAAATATTACCAATATCAAAACTTATCATTGTGCGTAAACTATTGAAATATAATTATACTTTATTTGAGAGGCAACTTCCTTTAGATTTCTTCCGTTGTTGGTGATTGGTTCTTGTTGTTGTTGTCGGTTAGGTATCTTCATCACCTCTGTCTTCTCCAGGTTCATTTGAAGTCATGTCCTCGCCGCTACTCCTCCCACCTTGTTGGCTTGCATCTGTCAGTCTTCGGGTTTGTGTGACATTAGACATGAATAGTTTGTCTTTTTAATTTATCACATTTATTCATCCTAGTCTATGTTTTGTTTAGTCATCATACCATATTTTATCATGGTATGTTAATATGCCTATTTTTACTATTGCTAATTTTAGAAATTGGGATTAATTGATTTCATTTAATTTCAGTTTGTCAGTCTGTTTATTACTCTCATCATTTCTTACTTTTTATTTTATCGAATTCCAGGTTATCACATCACATTTTATTTTCTTCTAGTTAGTGTAACAAATGTCGTTAGCTGATGAACTTTTGGCTGATCTTGAAGGAGCAGAGACATCTGAGGAATTAATTGCTGACTCAAGTCTTCATGAACTAGAAGATGTTACTTTATCAAGTGTAAACAAGTTGGATGATTTTCTGTCAGATGGAACCAGTTCGGGAGTTAAAAGTGCATTTAAAGCAACTTCATTTGCTGATGCTCCAATCAGTGCTTATGCAAAATTGAGAAATAGTGATAAGGTGAGCTTTTATAGAACTTGATTAGACTCTTGTGCTTAGATAATTGTGTGTTTCTCCATTGTTTATAATCCATTTTATTGGGCTTTACTTTACTAGACGGGTCTTAAAAGTTTATTTCTCATAATTTCATTCTATGAAACACTATCTCCATAGTATTCATATCACAATAACTTGTAAATTGTCTAGAACTTTGAATGAAAAGGACTGCAGGTGAGCTAACTTTACAGAACTAAATAGAATGACACAAGAGCTGAAGTAATACGAGATATATAATGAGTGAATGACGCCCAACCCCTGAGCTTTCTATGCAATTATCACTTCCCACCACTGTGGAAGCTAATTTATTCTTAAAACAACTGGAACAGAAAGAGCATTAGTGTTGCGTGGTCGCAGAGCCCAGTGGACAGCTGCTTAAAGCCAGTCATACGCGGCTTGTTTGAAAGGGTTCTTGGAGTTATGTCCATATTAAGATCCTACCTGTCGGTTATAAACTGCCTTAGGTTAAGTTGAAATGTATAATTTTTCGGGTCGTCATTTCGTAATCTCTCCTTCCTCAGAACGGAGACGTAGCATAGTTGGCTTGCTAGTTGCCGGAAGGAAACACCTTACTGCTGTTACACACCTATTCGCCAACAGTAGAACTGTGCATTTAGAGCCTCAACTTAATATCAGTGACTTACACCGTGATGGTAACTGCCCCTTTTCAACCACCATCCATTGATATTTCCAGTATGGTGGGACCTGTAAGAATATTCGTTCCAACTAGTGTAACTCGGATCATTGTGATTTGCAAGTCTGATCATCACGTCAAGGTTGCAGCTATCGTGAGACTAATTCTTAACTGCCTCATATATTACTTTTCAGTCGTGCTGAGATTCCAAATTGATCGTGTTAAATTATACTTCTATATATAGTGAGTTTTTAGTACATTTAAAGAGGCTTGTTAGTGGTCGGATTAAGACTGAAAGGTTTATGGACAAATTGTGTTTGTGGTTGAAATCCATGTGGTGCTGCGAATTAGAGTTTAGTTTCTTTGTGCCATGTTTTAGAATCAGTGTTAGTGTACGGATTCATCCAGACTCATAGATGAAGATAAGCATTATCATGAGCTGGCATCAGTTAGAGAACCACCGGAAAACCTGGGAGTACTGGATAGCTGTTTTGTCCCAGTTTGGGACTCTTCACAGCACGCACCCACCGGGGTTCGAACCCAGGACTTCCCGGCCACAAGGCGAGCTCGTAGACCATTGAGCTACTGGGACCCAATCCAATGGCCCATGAATTCTAACTTCTGCCAATTCACGACATAGCGCGACCATTTCGCAGTGCCTCATCTTCAACCTGTTTTACCCAACTGTAACCAGAAGGTCCTGGATTCCAACCCCGGTGGGTGCGCGCTGTGAAGAGTCCCAAGCTGGGAGGAAACAGCTGTCCAGTACTCCCAGGTTTTCCAGTGGTTCTCTAACTGATGTCAGCTGATGATGAAATCATCCATCCAATGAAACAAAATCCCTGCAAAACCAGTACTTGAAAATAAGCATTATCAACATAAAACCTGGAAATCTTGTCTCAGCTTTCACATCCTATATCTGCGTATCAAAGGAATGGTAATTAATATGACCAAGAAATAAAAATTATATAACCAAAGGCTATGAAATACTACAAAAGACAATAGGAATAACAGATATTTACGTTCTATCTCCTCTAATAGATGGTATAATTTGGTGAGTAATATCGAGGTTAGGTGTGGACTGTTAAGTAAGGAGGGTGAGTCAATTGATAAAGTTGTTAAGTTACTTCGGTTGAGATGACTGGGGCACGTGTTGCACACGCCAAGCTACTACCTTCCTCATCGAGCAATGTCAGCTGACACGAGGTTGGGTCGGAAAAGAGTTTGGGGGCGTTCAAACCAAAAACAAGCATTAGTGCACGAAGTCTATGACAGTTGGAGGAAATGAAGACAGCCTGGTTGGGGTCCTCAGGATTTTAAGTACCAGTGTCTGAAAACTATTGATGATATGGCTGAAAATCGTTCTCATTAGAGCATATGTATTCTAGCACATCCTTTAAACCCTCCTGTTTTTCTATGTTACTATGCTCTCTCCCGTTTTCAGTCTCCCCTTCCTTAGTGTGCTATATGAAATGTGGTATACTGAGAAGCAACATTTCTGTTGAAACTCAACCAGTCAGGCAGGAATAACAGAGAAATATAGCATGAGTAATAGTCAACTCAAAGTGTGAGTACATCTATGTGACCCTGGCATTTGATTGTTTGGTTCAGAACGACCATCAGTGACCTCAGAGACTGATACCACATTTTATTACAGACCTACCCATTCTTTGCTCTCTTTAAATATTGAAAAGAATTAGAGTTTTGATCCCTAGTTGACTTCAATTGGAGAGCCACTGCAAACCAAGGAGTACTGTGGACAGGTGTTTCTTCCTTGTTCGGGAATCTTTGGCAGTACTCACCCAGGGTTAAAAGGTGAACTCGAATACTGTTCATTCACTGGGACGGAATCCAATAGCCCATGAATTGTGACTTGTGCCAATTCGCGATATGGTATGACCTGAAGGTGTTTTGGGTTCGATCTGCAATGGGGTTATGGGTGCGCAAATGATTAGGGGTGGTCCTGAAAGAAGACGAAACGGCAGCTGTCCAGTTCTGCTTGGTTTTCAACGGTTCTCTAACTGAAGTCAATTCGGGATCAAGACCAAAATCAATTAAATTCATGCAAACATACAATTGAAAAGATTTAGTCGGAAAATAATCTCCATCATTTCCTTCTTAAGTGAAATGTCTTTGTTCACTTATACTCTATTGCACTGCAAAGTGTTTTGTTTGCAACTTGCCTAACATCGCCTATGCAGTACATGTATGCAAGAAACCATCATATCTAACCAATATTAACTCGATACGTTATATTTAGACAAAGATTCGTACAAGAAGTGGGAGTAACTCTGCTACATATTTAATATTTGCACGTTGAATAGGAGGAAATATGATATTAAATAGTATCCTGCATAAATGTGTTCACCTTGTTTCAGTTAGATAAAAGCGCAACTTCATGCCTCCTAATATCTTTCACTACAATTTTTTGTTTTCATTTCAGCTAACCAAAGTCATGTCAGATCTTGATTATTTTGCTAATCAAAAGAAAAGTGATCGAATACATGGGCCTGTTGAAGCTGATCCCGAATATCAGTGTATTGTTGAAGCTAACAATCTTATGGTGGAAATAGATAATGAAATCAGTAAGTTTCTTTTTTTCTATTGTTTGCTAAGAAATAGGGTTAGACAATTCACCGGAATGCTTGATATCTGTTGACCTGTTGGCTTCTATCACCGATACTTTGACGATATCTGAAGGTTTACATGATGTTAATTTGGTTGATAGCGGCTAATAGTCGAATACACAACGCACATTTCGTTCTGTTTGGAACTTGTCAGTTGGAGATACTTATGTTCCCATTAAGTAATGATGTTCACTGGAGACGTAGGTATGTCAGGTCGACGAGTCCCCAGTAACACGAAACAGATCTTGAATTCCACCGATAGCCACCACCACCTAAAACACGCAGTCTATATATGAATTAACATATTCTTACTTTATCTGTTGTCGTAGTGTGCCCCATTGGTTTGGACACTCAGGTCCCTGTGAGTAGGTTCCAGGTTCAAATGTCAATTTGCTGCAGGCATCAAATGAGTTGCTCCGTTCTCTCTCTCTGTTTCCTACCCTGTTTACATCAGTCTTGATTGTTGTATATAAGATTTTAAATTTCAGTCCATTGAATTCATTGACTCCGAAATTTCATACACATACTGAAGCACACAAGCATTGTGTCGTCCAGCAATCAGTTATATTCCCCAAGTCTTAAATAATGCTCTGTATGCATGATTTGGCATTCCTGTAATGTTGTAATGAACGTTGCTAACGACTTTAGTAGACTGAAGTCGAAAGCCCAGTTGTATTCTTATATCTAGAACCTGTTATTAACTGTTGGATAAGATGTCTAATCGTACAGTGAAAGCTGGGATAGCATACGTCAATCTAGTCCACCTCTGGCCACATCAGTGTGGTTGCTAATGGTCGAGTTTGCAGTATCTGCACCACTGAGAGAACGATTTTGAGCCATATCAATAACATTCTCCAGTCAATGGTTTTCAGCATCCGGAGGTAGTCTACACCTGACAAAATGGTTCAAATAAATGTTAAAGATTTCATGGACTGATTCCCTGCTTTCGTTTGACCACCATCTTTCATTGTTTTCCAACTCAATCCCGTCAGCTAACAATGCCCGTCAAGGAAGGTGATGGCTCGCCGTGAGTAGCACGTGTCCTAGCCTTCACAATCGATGTGGCTTCACAACCTCATCATATGACTTTCACTACTTAATTAACACTCGATGCCTAGCCTCAGTAGTACTCGCCCTATTATACAACTTAACATAAGAGATGATAGAACGCAGATACCTATGATCAAAGACAGTTAGTCCCTTCAAAAATCTTCCTCTCTCAGTGGGCATATTTCCCATCGCTGAAGAAGGACAGAGCGAAGTCAGTGCAGAGTGGTCTTATAACATCAGGTTATGTTTGACAAAGGCGAATTGTATGTCAAATATACAAAATTTTCTGCTCAACGTGTTCGGAAGACTTTCAGTTTTGTCAGAATTCCTACCTAGTAGGATAATATCACCCGCAACAACAGTGTCCCCTGATAACACTTCAATCCCTAAGTTGTTAAGGTCGATTAGTCACATCCATTAGTACATCTACGATGAAATTAAACAAAACTGAGATCGATGGACGTTCCTGATGAACACCACTGATTGTCATCACTAGAGATGACAAGCCTCCATAAGCCTTAACACAGGTGTATCAGTTTGAGTAGAGTGTCTTTCTTCACAAGTGTAAATTGCCACAGCGCCTCTTGGCTGAAAGAGTCAAACGCTTGCTCCAAGTTAAGAAATATGGCAACTGTTGGACGCTGGCAAGTATGCTTATGTTCCAGAATATATCTAAGCCTAACTGTCTTCTGATTACGGATGTTTGCGTTATACCTCCAGTGCTAGTTGATATAGTATGGTGAGTAATATTAAGGTTAAGTGTAGACTACTAGGTAAGAAAAGGAAATCAATCGGTGAGTCGATCAAGATGGCTGGGCCACGTGTTGTGTATGCCGGGTCATCACCAGAAATATTAACCGACATAAGATTCGGTGGGAAAAAGGGTCAAACTCTTGCATCCATCTATGGAATCTTAGACAGTTATTTCGACCTGCATAGGGTGGTGGCAGACTGCCTGTTTAAGGTTTTCGGGATTCTAAGAAACAATCACTTGAGAATATTGGTGATATGGCTCAAAATCGTTCTCAATGATGCAGATGTATTCACACTCTGTTATCTTCGATAGCTATTGAACCCTAATGTCTTACCATGGTCCTACCCTTCCTCCTTTACATTTCTGCTTACCACAGATATTTTTACTTCCTGTCACTTTTCTCCATGGTGTGATAACTTGAAGTGTTGCACATCTGTACAGAGTTCTATGCGGAAACTCATTCATTCAGGAATATATGTATAAACTTTCTCCCTTTTTGTGCTTATAATCATTATTTTCATTTAAAAATTGCCTTTAGGGATTAGAAATTGTCAATCCACAAGCTGCAGAGAAACCAATGGAAATTGGGAATAAGTATTTCAGTAGCACATGTGGTTTCAAAAAAATTGAAGCAAAGATGAAAATTGATGATTCCATGACAAATGGAGTATAATAATGAAATAAGTTGGAGAGAAGCTTGTTTGAGACGGTTGCGAAATCTCCCAATGTGTGTGTACAAAGAATTTATTTTGTTGTTTTAAGTGCGCATATCATCCACTTTCAAGCGGAAAAAATATTCTTGGATTAATATCAGACAAATTAAAACTGTTCAGCTTAACCCCCCTTTTTCTCACTTGTTCCCACAAATTGTATAATATATATCTTATGTAAAATAAAATACATATCCTATATTTTATATCAGTCTTTCAAAATGGTCGGCTTTTGTTTAACAGCACTGAATAGCAAGCGAACATGTAATAATTTGACAAAACACACGATGAGTTATACAGTATTATTTTTTCTTAAAGTTATATTTCGAACACGACTTATTGCTTATAATTATATCAGAGGAAACTCAATGAAGATAGTAGAAATACAAGACTGTGCCCACCTTTATCGGTGTTACTTCTAATTTTGGTGGACTTGATCATCCAATAGATTGTGGAGAGTGAGAAGACAGGCATACTATGAGTCGGCAAAAAGGCTGACTTTGCAGATGACTTATTTTTAGTGTATTACACAAACTCGGAGATCTACAAGCAAAAACCAACAAGATGGCAGAACAGATAAGTAACGGACAGGACTTCGGGTGAACACAGAGGTAGATAATGAAGAAACCTAGCCAAAAACACCAATCACTACCAGCGGGAAGAATCTTAAGGAAGTTGGCTCTTTTCCTTACTTCGGCAACATTAATTCAACTACAAGGGGAACGAATGAGTATGTGAATGTCAGAATTGCAAAAGCAGGATAGGCATACAATACTCTGAAATCAATATGACATGACACCCAACTATCGGTTAGTGGAGGTGTACTTATCAGCAGTTCACTCTATCATCTTATATGGCTATGAGATGTGGCCATTGAAAGTGAAAGATATGAAAAGGGTAGCTTTTTTTGTCCTGTCTCCTGCGTTGGAGTAGTAAGAAATGGTGAGTAATATTGAGGCTAGGCGTTGAGTGCCATATAAGGGTAGGAAGCCAATACATGGAGTTGTGAAATGACACCGATTAATACAGTTAGGACGCGTGTTGCACATGTCTAGTCACCTTTTTTTTCCACCGGAAACGTGGGCTAACGTAATATTAGGTTGGATGAGTTATCGGCGAGTATATCAGAACCTGGCATCAGTCCATGAAGTCTCTGACAGATGGTTCGAGCCGGCCACGTAGGGAGCTGTAGACTGTCTGACTGAAGTCCTCGGAATACTAAGAATCAATAATAGCTGGAAACTATTGGTGATGCAGTAAACACTCATGTGTTTCCATGTTACTTTTCTTTCTCTTGTACATTTCTGCTTATAGTAGTTCTCTTAAATTTGTTTTTCCTTTCTTTGCTCTACCTCTGTATGCTACGTCGATTGTATGTGTCAAATTGAACTGGTACACTTTAGATGCGTTGAAACCCAGCAGTCAGTCAGTTTGCTAAAATTACCGTTACTAGTACTCCTGTGAATTACTTCTGATCACCACTCTAGTTATTATAATACCCGCTTTTGCAAAAGGCAGATGTTGATTTTCTTTAAAACAACAGCAAAAGGTGACTATGATTTGTATTCAGATACCTGTGGGTATTTATAAATAAGAACATCCACAAATACAGAATGGAATATACAAACAATGAAATTTACATACAAAATAAGTAAAGAAAAATAGTGATAGGGATTGTAGCTACAGTTGTTCCTCTTTATTATTTGAATCAAAATGATCCATTGCTGATTGATTGCATCATCATTGAATGTTTTACCTTTTTTGAAAAAAATAAAAATAATTGTGAAACTATTAATAATAACATAAATAAGAGAGAATATAAGTCATCTAGTTATACCATATAAAGAGGGGACATCTGAAACCCTACGTAGGATTCTAAATAAGGTAGGAATTAGAGTGGGATTTAAACCTAAAAACTCACTCAGGGACAAGTTGTGTAGGTTAAAGGACCCAATTAGACAAAATAATATAATTTACAAAATACCATGCAATGACTGTGAGGTCAACTACATAGGTCAAACTAGTAGGTCAGGGGTAGTCAGATTGTCGGAACATAAGAATTTAGCTAAGGTAAGAATGGTTGACCCTGAAAAGATAAGTAATTTAGAAAAAAGCTCAGCAATTGTAATGCAGGCATTAACACACAATAGGGTGGGAGAGGGTTAAAATTCTAAAAAGTAATCTAGATAGGTGGATAGAGAGGTTGATTACTGAATGCTTGTTCATCGAGTCTACACCAAAAACAGACAATAGGAATGATTCATCACTCATACTCGAAATATGAAAAATACTACTGCCAATCAAATCAAGTGAAAAATAATGGAACTATGTAAATGAAGTTAGGAAGTCGTGTGATACCTTGATATGATTATGAGCAATAAATTGTGCTCGAAACGTCATTAGTAAACATTACTGTATAGCACTAACAAAAATTTACCCATAATGGAAGAAACTATGGGAACAAACAAAACAAGAACCAGTCGCACAACAAATATGCAGGAGATAAAGGAGATGGATTGGACACTCGCTGGGTGACATCGCGCATCAGGCCATTGTTCTAGTGGAACCTGAAAGGGAAGCGGCGAGTGGAACGTCCAAGGGTGATATGGAGGAGATCGTGAGAAGAGAACAGTATGGACTAACATGGATGCAGGTGAAAAGCACAGCAGAAGACAGAAGCAAGTGGAGACGTGCAGTTGAAGCACTATGTTCCATTAGGAACCCAAGGGAACAATAATAATATTTGTAAGAACCATATGACGCCTAATGTTTATAACACTGAAGTGAGTCCCACTCTTGGGAGTTCACGGGCACAATCATCCCCGAGATCGGCTCAAGTTTTAGGCTTGAACAATCATTCCATTAAACCAGCTGAGTAATTACTACAGTTTTATGGGAATGGATAAAATAACATATAAGGAACCGAGAACGAGATTACATTTTTCCCTTGAGAATTTCTATAATGTAAACATGACCAGATGATGGTATTATGTTCGCATATAGTTTGCTCGGAATTACTAGCAACTGTTTTTTTTTCAAATCCGGCAGACTAAGTATTATTCATCATTCTATCCACTTGCCTCGAAATGCTTCCCGACACTTGTGATCCAAGTACTTACATAACACAAATTAACCCTAAGATCGAAGAGTGAATTATGTCGAAGAAATACCTAGTGTTTATGGTAAAAAAAAACACCTAATTGTTAACAGTTGCTTAGTTTAATACTAGTGGAATCAGAATCTCGAGCCACATCTGTAGAAAAGTTGGCCCCCTGATCTGAACATATGATTGCAGTCGAAAACATATCGACATTGCCATTTCCAAACATTTCCCAGTTAAATTAGTTGTGCACTAAATTAATCAATGAGCTAAGATTCCGCATCAACAATAACATGCTATACCGGCTTAAGTGACTGTTTCTGAAAACATTACAACTTCGGGAAGATCTGTTAGATATCCAAGACTTCAACAGTAATCGCCTCATTATAAACTACTTCCCCTGCTGTGTGTATGAAGTTGTATCGCTGGTGTAAAGATTACAAAAGCAATAAAGCATTTTCCCCTTCCACAAATAATAGAGGAATTATGCCATCTATTCACTTGACTAGTTGGGAAACTTATCTGTGGACGTACCAAAATGTAAGATGGTAAGAATTGCCTAACAATCGGTGACTCTGACATTCTGTTATTGCAGAACAGTAAAACAGTAGGGTGAATTTATAGTGCCTACAATGTCACAATGAAATACTACATCAGTATATGGTGCCCCCTTGATGACCATTACCTATCGACTCAAAAATAAATGTTAGGACATTAACTCTGAGATGAAAATGTTTATAAAGGCTCAAATAACTAAAGATTTTGGTGTCCTGAGATTAGTACATCAATTAGAGACAAGGAACACATACATAGTCTTGCCACCTCTATATGATGGATGCAAATCAACATTACACAACATATGCACTGGTAGAAAATGTGAAGTGATTATTAGACATTGCATCTATTAAGACAACCTAAAGAGCCTGTCATTTACTGTAACATGTTAAATCAAGAGAATATTAAAAATTTTAATGGATAAATAAGAAAAACGAAGTCACTCAGTGAACTAGACAAAAAAAGTCAAAGTCATGAGATATTATGCAAAAGAAAATGTTTACTATACAGGAAGTATGACAGTATCCATCTACTTGAATTACTACTGATCCTCTCCAAGCGGATCAGGTATACCTTCCGTCTCCATTATCAGCGCTCTTTCCAATATGACTTTGCCTTCCTTGTACCTCTGGCTTTCCTCCATAGCATGTTCATACATCCAACCCAATTTAGTATTGCACTTAATGCATACGACGTCTCTTACGAGATGACGACCAGTCAGCATAACACGGTCCTAAAGTAGCAATTTCATTCCATGCGCCGAACATACCTGTATGTCACTGTGAACTATATTCACTACACGGTTGAATAAGAAAGCACGACCGGTAGCCCCAGTAAAACGAGTACTCAGTATTTCGCTTCGATTTGTGAGTGGCGTCTCACAGAACTGACAGTTTATTACCCTACTCCCACCCATATGCTCTATAAAAATCCTTCCCATTTGCGTACACTGAAGGGAAAGAAACCGTTAAAGACAGCTGATTTAAGCCAAAATGACCTACAGCTCGATGAACTAAAACAAATCGTGCTGTCTTTGGGAATTTATTCATTCTACGACTAATTAGTGACGACAAGTGAGGTTATATTCCAACAGTGGTTTTCTTAAACTTGCTGCGATATATTTCAGATATATTTCACACTTCTTAAGTGTTTGGCTCACTGAGAGTATTTGAAGCCACCGCCCAATAATAATAATAATAATAATAATATAAATTCTCATTTTTTACATGAGGGACGCCAGTTTACAGGCATCATCAATTCGATAATTTACACTTAATATTAATAAGCACATTTAGTAAAGATAATATAATAAAGTACATTTTTTTCCCTAGCTATGTAGGGGACACCAATTGTATAAGCATGCATAAATATTGTTTTAATAATAATAATATATTCCTTCCTGTTTATGCAGGAACATACCAATTGTACAGGCATGGATAAGTTGTTATATAAATAACACATGATTTGATGTATAATGGATTTACAGTTTGGTTGTTCTTTCTGACATCAAAGTCAGTCGGAACAGTCTGCTATAAAGTCTGTTTGTGTAGCACATAAAGAGATATAGAAATATTGTCTTCGCATTAACAAAAAACCCAGACATCACATGAATGTAATACAGATATCTGGGAAAAATAAAGCTTGAAGTCAATTCTCCTACATAACTTTGTTGTGAACAGCACCCTTGGCTTAAAGATTATTGATGTATTATGTTGAGATCAGTGTTATATTTATTCCATTTTTCAGCAGTCTTATCGTAGTTTCATAACAGGAAAGAAATTTGATCGTGGAGGCGAAAACTAGATAAGGTCATGTTAAGTTGTTTTACTGCATCAAATGGTGCCGAGGTCGATTCCAGAATTCTCCATTTGCTCCATTTGTGTCTGCATGGCGGACTGTACTCGTAAGTTGAGTAAAATGTTGAAAACCAGTTGCTTCTTTATTTCAGATCATGAATACTCATTTACATCGTGTCCGCCAGCTTCTTTAAATGGTAGAATTGGATCGTTCCTGGAATTTGAGTGATTATGGGATAAATGGTTTGGAATTAATCATAGCAGTTAGAATACAGTTAAACATGCAGAGAAGTACTTTTGATTCAGCAACCGGTGATTTTTTTATTCTTTTCGATCTACTACCAGAATAACTGCGAATCATTCCATTCAAGATGGCGAATAAGGCATGCAGGAGGAGATCATTGCCATCGAGTGAACCAACTTGATCTGAGATGCAGCTTTCAGCATGTTTTAGTTATATCATAGATATCCAGGTTTATTGGCGCTGTATAGGCAGTGATTTGGATTATAACGTAATCTACAAAGTCTCCGTGTCCATTTGAAGTATACATATGCTTTGAAAGGATTACTTTGTTGGCTCCTACCCCCACTGAGTGTTAACAACAGCTGCTGAATAAAATCTCGCTGATTCTGAACTCTCTATAATGCGCAAATACTGAAATTGCTCTGAAATGGTTTGATTAGGCATAGAGACCATGTGTATGGTCGGCGAGAGTCCCAACGGCTGTGCCACCGACGCTGAGTTGGAAATCTCCTTTCTGCTACTCCCTGTTTGAGGCTGTCAAGATGTTTGAAACAAGAAGATTGGAACTGCTTTTTGACAATAAGAGCAATGTATTTATTCAATTGCTGTAGTTCATCAGGTAAAAGCTGAAAAAGAACATAACTTCTCAAAGCTTTGCTCCTCTTTATCTCCACGACACGGTGACTTATTGCATCGTTACGACCGAGTGTGCGCCGCTTTGATGTTTTAGAATTCGAGCATATATGGCTGCACCTGAGTGCTTCCCATAACGAATAAGAACGTTTATTTTTTACTAATGCAGCTTTCTGGAAGATGGTTTATGCCAAAATTTCATGCAGTGGCATACCTGTTGACGAATTTCCAAGCCTTTACGTCGTTGAGAGGTGAGCAGCAGTCTTAGGTGACTGGTGCAGAAGCATTCATGTAGGGGGCTCCTTAGACATGATAATATTCTGAATTGTATTACTGCAGGGGGTTATAACGTATAAATTCACCTAACTAATTCTCAACTGTGCCGCACCCATGCTGTAAATTGTTATTGTTGTGGAATAAAGTGATTATTATCATTATCATTATTATTAACAAACAACATAGAGCCGTCTATAATACGTTGGAAATAGAACCGCAGGCGTTGTCCACAAAATGGCAGAGAATTAGTCTAACAATCTCCGCCAAAACAGGCAGAAGTGATGAGAGTGGTCGAACATCTAGAGGACTGTACGCACGTGTCTTTCGGTATCAGTGTCATTGATTAATCAGATGCTGTATTAATCACTGATGCGCTGCTGGGGAAATATAGGAACGATTAAACACGTCGTTGAAACTAAGAAGGACCTTCGATTCATGCGACCGTAAACGAATCAGTTAAGATACTTAAAGGGTGAGGTCTAATAAAACACTCAGTAAAAAGGCATAGGTACAACGAAACATCACCCTAAATTTATATTAAATCTAATCTCACTAGAGCTCGTAAATGCAAAAGCATGAAAAAACAAAAGAAGAAATTCACGACAGTCAGTTGATGCAAAATGCAGAAGCAGTACACCGCCATCATAGGAAGACCCATTTCACGTCTAACTTCGCGCAGTTAGATGCCATAAATACTAACTACTAGTGGTTACCGAACAGATCAGAGCGATATACTCGTCGGATGACAATCCCACTAATAATGGATTCTACTGCAATTTACTGAGAAAATTTTTGAGTGAAATAGCCGATATGCCATGAGTTAGGAATTTTCTGGACAACCTAAATAGAGCAGGAAATCTCATCGACTGCTTGACTGCCACAGTGCTTAAGCGTATAGCATCTCCTCATCAGTCTATTGTTTATATCCATGCTGAAAATTCCATACTTGTACCAAAAATACAATGTGGAATCAAGCTGTAAATCAAAAATAAAAAAATAAAATAGTATCCCAGATTCAGCGCCTGTAGAGACTATAGGAAGCAAAATCCTGGATTATTGCAGCATAGCTAGTGTGCCATGTCGATGCAAACAGCTTCGTAAAATGTCGACCCAGTCTAATTGTCCCATCATTTCCAGGTTCGGTAGTTCTCTGGGTGCTATTAAGTTTACTAAATTTCAAGATCATTCAAGAATAAGTGGTGGTTATAAGTCTGTAACCATAGCTCAGGACAAACATGGCGTCAAAGCGGAATAATGGGCAGTAATAATTTGGCCACCTCATCTGGCTAATATTTACCGAAAGCGGATCGTTTACCTCAACAATCACCTAGTATTGACAGTAGCATTCAGCGAGCCACACTACGATCATGCCCACCAATCGAAATGGGAAATGATTTAGATATTAGTATCCCTGTAAACAAACTTCATTGAAAGGTACTAAAATAGCTGACAGTGCTGCACGTTATCCCGAGAATTTTTCAACTAAACGTGGAAACCTCACCAAGGTGAACAATTTCGCGAAATTGAGTCTGATGCCGGGCTGGAATATTTGTATTCAATAGGCCTTCCGAAAGTAAGCGTGTCAACGAACCCACAGTGGACACTAGGGGACCCTCTCGAAACACATATATTGGTGGTGGTTTTCAACACACTCCGTCTTATAGAAACTTGGGCCCCGAAACCCCTGGAGTTCTGCAACCGAAGCACCTTCCCACACAATATTCTCCTGGTTATAAAAACAACAGCAGGACGCGTACCGGTATACAGAATAGCAGATTGATGGGTAGACCTTACGAAGTTACGCCTTTTAATCCACAACCCATCCCCAATCACTACTACCCGTACATCCAGGAGCACACAGTAAATTGTTTAGGTGTCCTGAATCACTGGTACTACCTTTGGCACCAGGACCACCTCATCTTGCTCTAACCCCGATATATGGAAACACAGTCCGGCCTCTTTTACGCCCATACATTCTCCTGGAGCTGACGCACAAATAGAATAAGGTTACAATAATAATTTATTTTTCGTATGAACGGATAAGTTCATAAGAAACTCAAGTCATTTTTACAGCCACGATCAGATATGTTACACATTGCGATCGTGAAATATCACAAATTAATACTTTTTCGAAAATTTTAAATTGTTGGACTACTGTACAAGCAATCTAAACAGGTTCTTATAAGTGTCACATTGTAAACCCTTCACCAAGGCCACCATCAAGGTTGCCCGCCAGTTCAAACTTCATTCCGTTCCCTGCTCAAAGTTATCGCCGACCAGTGGACAGTGTATACTTGGGTAAGCGCCGTGCCACCATGTTATTAAAAGCTATTTCAGGAAGATAAGAACGTCCTGAGAAACTGAAAAATGGTGTGAAATGCAATAATGGGTAACAAAACATTGTATTTTAGGTCAGTTCACCATATAACCGATTAATACACATTCCCTAAGCAACAAGATATCTGGACCAAGGACATTATTACTGATCGCCAAGCCTTCTTTAGCACTGATGACTGTTTAGAGGCTGAAAATAATGACGTCCACGAATAGTACGGTTTATACCAGCGCAAGATCCAATACCCACAACTTCTCTAATGATCTTGGTGGCCTGCTTAAATCTTGGGCTACCAAATACCTTCTTACACTAGAAATCATACTGCATCTAATTTCTTATTACCAATTCATTTTAAATTACTAAATCTTATTCAAATATGACCGCTAATCGGATTATTTATTCTCGCGACTATTTATTATCCTTAAAACCTACTGATCTGCAATTCCATAAAAAAGACAAAAAAGCATCATGCCGGGTGGCAAAGAGCCTTAAAAAATACCCCTATTCAATTCATGACTGCCCCCGCAATTATGAGTACCAATTGTCGCTCCCTACCGGCTAAAATTAACTGTCTTCAATCGCTGGTGTCTTCCATTATATATCTTAATACTGGGATCATATCACTTCAAGAAACATGGCTACATGATCCATATGATGACAGCCCAGTGTATCTGAATGATTTCAAATTGTACCGTCAAGATCGGTGTAGTTCCAGGAAGAAACACGGCGGCGGTGTCGCCATCTTCATCAATTCACAATGGTGTACGTCTAATAATGTATGTTTCAAATTCTCCAGTGACAATATTGACTGTCTCACCGTTAAGTGTCGACCTAAACATTTGCCAAAATACAACTACATTTACATCGCGAACATTTATATTGCTCCGAG